TCATAAACAGATGCGTCGCGTGACGTCGCTCGTCTGCCTGCATTCGCAGTCTCCATGTTTCAAAATTCACTGCCAGCGCTACAAAATCTACAGTATGTACATGTTACGTGCATTATACATCTTCAGCGCTGACAATGATTTTTGGAACACAGCCATTAAATAACTCACGTGAAATTATTTACATATGAAGTGAGCCATATTCCGTGTAGTATGATTGATTGTCCAAACGTTGGTCGTGAAATTCAATGCAATTTATGTGATCGTGAGTCTCTGAGATTTTATGTAAAAATAAAAAATTTAACTTTTAACATTTTAATTTCTTTTTATTATTAACTTAACTTTCAATTCAATTAATTGTATTATGGATTAACTTGTATCTTAAATTTTCAAGGCTGTTAATTTTAACTTAACTTACGAGTTAAGTTAGTTAAAAACAGATAACTTATCCAACCCTGATAATGACATTGTATTTATATCTTTCATTATAATCACATTACTGTCTCTAATTTTAATATCCTGTATATAATCTTTGATTAATGTAAATTACTTTATGAAAGATGCTAATGTCATAAAGGAAGAAAGAACAGATTTACGCACCATTTCTACACACCATGCTAAGATCCGCGCTAGACGAATGTTATCTTCTGTAAGTTGATTCTTAGGTGCCAGCATTTTATAGGCATAAATTAATGCGAAGCCACGAATTTGCTTTCCGCTTGAAACGTTATATTGTAATACCTGTATTATAAAGATACATCAGTCTGCATACTTCTTCAACTTTCTGATTTGTTGCTCTTTATTTCATTCTATCATTATGTTTTTCATTTTATTTTTATATTACTAAAACACGCCACAATTCTTTTTGTATGAGATTCTATAATAGTATTCTCTATTTATATGTCTTCATTTTTAATTGCTCGAAATTTTCACAATAACTTACTGTCAGAAGTCTATACATTATCGTTACCAATAAAAACTCATTTTCAATTGTTAGACAAATTGTTCATAGCTTATTGCAAAATTTTTCCATTAATTTGTATTATATGTTTAATTATTTTGAAGGAACTTATTCTAGAATAAATCGCTAAATCTGTCGAACAAACTTAAATTACTTTTTACGTCCTACATTGGTTATTTTACAGTATTTTGATCATTAACGACTTACCTTTTCTACCCATTTAGCAAGATCTGGAATGTTTAAATTCTTAACCATTTCCACGATATCACGAACAATGTCTGGCCACACTGCTATCATCTCCCGACGTTCTTCCTTACTCAATGCCAGCATTATTTCAGTTATAGATTGAGACATTTTCACGTTCTAAAATTTCATCTAATGTTAAAAAATACAAGAAGGGATGAACAATGGCTATTCTGTTGTGTATTTCATGAATACAAGTGCCATACTGCGACACATCACAAGCCAACACACAATTTAATAATTTAACAAGAAACGATGAACAAAAATATTGAATTTATAAATTTGATGTTTTGTATCTTACTAAATTTGGTTGGATTTTCTTCGAGGAAAAAGATGAAGACAAAAGTTCAGAAGGAGAACTGAAGATAACGCTGTTTTTCCTGCGTTATATACTCCATACATTGATAACAATACTCGTACATATGTATGTTCTTTTTGTGATCAATGAAGTGACTATACATTACTAATTCATGTTTGTCACATAAGTGATCTTAACACAATGTTTTTCAAAGAGTATAAGCAATATATTCTGTTACTTTTTACACGACGTATTATGTCTCAAAAATTGAATAAACAGATCCAAGCTAATATTATGCAAGTGTTATCGTAATTTTAATCAGGGTTGGGAAAGTTACTTTATAAAAGTATCTAGTTACAGTTATAGTTTTTTCGCTAAAAATATAACTAGTTGCAGTTACACAGCAAAACAAGTTTCAGAAAGCTTTCCGAAAGATAACTTGGAAACTAATATTGAAATGTAAAATTGAAATCATTCAGAAATATCTTTGAAACGTTTCATCAAAATCACATGTCATTGAAAGCTTTCCAAAAGATACCTTGGAAATTAATATTGAAATGTAACATTGAAATCATTCAGAAGTATTTCTGAAACGTTTTATCGAAATCATTTATGATCCTTCTAACTGAAATATTTCAGAAATATTACAAAACATTTCAGAGAAATATTTCGTACGTAATCTCTAAAACATATGTTATTGAAAGCTATCCAACATATAACTTGGAAATTAATAGTGAAATGTAAGATAGAAATCATTCAGAAATATTTCTGAAATGTTTCATCGAAATCATTTATGATCCTTCTCATTGAAATATTTCAGAAATATTACGAAATATATTTCTCTGAAATGTTTCTATTTTTCTATTTCTATAAATGTTTCTATTTCTCAGAAATATTACGAAACATTTCAGAGAAATATTTCGTACGTAATCTCTAAAACATATATTATTGAAAGCTATCCAACATATAACTTGGAAATTATAATATTGAAATGTAATATAGAAATCATTCAGAAATATTTCTGAAGCATTTAAGAGATATTTCCGAAGCATTTAAGAGATATTTCTGAAGCATTTCAGAAATATTTCAGAAACATTTATGATATTTCATCTACGCGGACATTTCATGTATCTGAAACATGTCTGAAATATTTTTTTGAAAGGTTTCATATTTCATTGACAGCTTTTTGAGAGGTTTCTGAAATATTTCGGTGCTGTGTGGGAAGTTACCAATTCTAAAAAGTAACGCGTTACAGTTACAGTTTCTCAAAAAGTAACGAATCGTTATTTTGCAGTTATCCTTGCAATGAAAATAAAAATATCATCTGTGTTTGAATTATAAAGTGCAATGTTGATAAAAGTGTTGATGTGCAAATGCAAGACCTAATGCGATCTGTGGAGGTTTAAAATATGTATAAAGTAACTTTTCATGTAACTATCAAATTATAGTTATCGAAAAAATGTAACTGAGTTAAGTTACAGTTATAGATGGAGAGAAAGTAACGAAGTTAAGTTAGAGTTACCAAAAAAATGTAACTGTAACTGTAACTTCGTTACAATTAAGTAACGAT